TATTTGGAAAGTGTTTGCTATTTTGAATGATTATCTATCCTGATCTTTTTTGTACATTTTAATTGTTTAGAAAATTGTTTTTTATTCTTTTGTTATGATGAGTGAAAATGTTATCTTAATGGCTTTAAATATGTTGGTTTTTAGGTAATTTTAAACATGTTAGAAATAAATATTTTCTTTTTGTTTTTTTTTTTTTAAGTGTTCCTGGGGTTTAATTCCTCACCTACCCAGAACTAACATAAATCATGTAACTACTGAGGATGATGTTGTATAGAGAAGCTGCCTATATAAGCATAAGTGTAATTATCTTCACAATAGTGTAAGAATTAGGGAAAATCTTCCTCAGAAGGAGTAGCAGCCCATTGTCCATGTTTGATATTTGATAGTCTTAAAAAGAGGTTTGTTAGGACCTTCAATTTATGTAAATTTATGAATTAATTCAGAAATAGTATCATAGGGAGGTCTAAGTGTAGTTTCTCATTTACCCATTTAACAAACACCTAATCATCATCTACTATATGCAGGAGACTATATTAGGTTATGTTTCTTATTTGAAAGAAGTTAATTTGAGATCGATAAGTTTTTACAAAAGGAAACTTGGATCATGTTGTCATTCATGACTAAATGATGCTACTATGTATGAGTTTGGGTCAGTAAGCAATAAAATCTTTTCTGGCTTAAGTTAAATTATTGATTAGTGTGCTCTGAATGAAGCTAAAACACCATTTTCACTAGTTTACTTAGATCAGCATAACATTATATTTTAACATTAAATTTTTATTCAGCAAAATTACATTAAATTTATCTAAATCACAACTTTGAGAGTTAACAAATTGACAGAGATTGGTAAACTAGCTTAATGAAAGAAACATGATTTGAGACTTAATTGTTTTTAGAATGGCTACAGTTTTCTCAAGAAGGCCTAATAATCTTTTCAATCAGAAACCTATTGTCACAGTTTCTTTTCCCTTTTTCCAAAGAAAAGAGCCCATCCCTAAATAAACATCTCTCACAGAAACCAGAATGCCATCTACTGGCAGCCGCCAAAATTTTAACTTTTAAACAAAACAATTTATGCTTAATCAATTTAAAATATAATATGTATTTTTAATGAAGAAATGCCTAGAGTTTGAAATGAACACCTAAGTTAAATGTTCGTATGTTTAAAAGTTGGGGTATTTTCTGGAGACACTCCACATTTGTTTCCATCGCAGGAAAAACTCTGTCATGGAGAAATATAAATAATGTAAGTATCAACTAGCTAATGTGATCCCAATGTTCTTACTAATTTGAAGGGGTAACACTCCCTTAAAGAAAAATTGTATTCAGAATGGAAAAATATTGTTTAATATTTCTAGATATTATTAGTCACACTTTTACTTCTTACCTTAATGTTTCATTCCAAAGAATATTGATGGAAATGGTATACAGCATAGATATGAGAATTTCATTGAAAACCGATTTTGTGATAAAGGACTGCAGTAAAAACAAAGTGAAATTCTCCCATAGTTAGTTGTAGCATTAATTGACATAATCAGGTTTTTTTTAAGGAAAAGCTTGAAAAACACATAGTTACCAAATATATAATCATTATTTTTAAATAGGTAAACCTGATATTGAATTTATATCTAAAAGGTCATAAATGTGTACCTGTATCTGTATCTATATATAGTGTATATATGCATGTATATATACCAGAGGTTTCGTTCAATTGATTCTACAATAAAAGAAAGTAATGAACATGGAAAATCAACTTTAGATTTTAAAGCACCAATAAGCTCTTTCAAAAATAACCCATGCATCATTTTAATGGTTTACTACAAGCATATTCTTATCTTTTTATTGTTCTTTCAAGAATAATTGTACACACTTACAGGATTTAATTCCCAGAGTAGAATTCACATAGTGATTGTGAAAGCTTTGAGAATGGATGCATACCATAATCTGTCTCCTAAGGCACCCATTCCCCCTACATTCTGCAGAGGACTTGTTTCCTCAGTCATCAGTAGGAAGCTCTATAAGGGAAGCCCAAAGGCAGCCTTGCCCTCCTACAAATGTGCATAATTCACGCATAACAATGCACTTCAGGAAATCTTGAAATCTTATCATGTCTTTTTCATTTAAAGTACCAGAGGAGTACTTAAAAAGTAAGTCCTATCAGTCCAGAAAGGCATTTTTAAAAGGCCATTATAAACGAAGTTCTCAGAACTCTGGCTCCAGCGAAGACATAAAGGTTAAAAATTGCCCAGGCAGCCCTACTCTATGATCGTCTTATTTTAAATGCAGATTGTCAGCAACTTTGAACTATGCATGTTCGTGAAAAAGTTCAGAGAAATGAAAAGATACGGTAGTAAGAACAAGAGCATTTTCTCGCACAGAAATTTGAGAAAGAGCACAACATATTGAATAAATCAGCCTTGGGATTGTGAGAATTCTTGTTCAAGACAAAGAAGATAGTATTATTCTCCATTTGCCCGCATACATTAATATTTGTTTGATGTTGTTCATTTAAATATTCTAGCTCCCAGAGAAAGTATTGTTTAGTGACATACTCAAATTTTGAATGACCCATATAAAGTTATTCTTTAAACAAGATTTTTATAAGCCGCTTTCAAAATTGTGAAAGAGATGCTGAAAATTGATCCATAAAGAAAATTCAAATTAACTTATGCATGTACACAGATACACGTATGATCTCGTATTGCCTAAACAAACAAAAATATTATAAAGAAACCGGACTATCTTGCCCTCGTAAGAGACACTGTACTAATTTAGATCACTGAACAATTTTTATAAATGAATTAAAATGTTACATATCATCTGCTCTCCTTTCCATCCTGGAAAAATTGTGAGGTAGCCGACTGTTTTGAAATAAATTTCCCTGCAGTTGCTATAGTGATGACAATAAAGTTCTTGCTTCTATTTGTGTGGTAAAAGTTCTTAGCAGAATACTTGAAAAGGTAAGCTAATCGAAATGAAGAACTGTTAGTTCTCTTTTTCAAGGCAGCCTCCTTGAAGGTAGTTCACAATTACAAGACTCAACCATTGTCGACAATTTTATTATATGTACATTTTCATAATCTTTCTCAATGTAGTACCAAAAAATTATATAGCAGAAATGAGCCCTCTTTTTTCTTGTTACAGGTCAAAGTCATTGGACAAAAGATATTTAGGTTAATTCTGGATATTTTGTGTGAAAATCAATGATTGAATCAAAGATACTGCTCCATTAGCTATTTTTGTCCATTACAAAGCTTTATTTTTTGAACAATACAATGATTGTATGATATTTTGCTTCAATAGTACATGTTGTTCAAGTCTCATTTCATCTCACTGTTGATGCAAACCAAAGAGCTCAAAAGCAGACAGTTACTTGTCAAACTGGATGAATCATCAAAGACGGGTCATGGATAAAGCAGCATGACTTAGATACATGTCCTACCACATCGATGTAAAAGACTAATAGTATTTACCTTAACGCGTTTGAGAAATTTAAATGGCTTTAAAAATTATTAGTTCAGAGAGAAAATATGCAAAACAGCTCACACAAGTTTAGAAGGTATTTTATGTCCTTTTGATAAATAAGCAGAAATGTTTCTTCTCTCAAAATCCAAATAGTTAAAAATAGGAATCACAGTTCAAGGGTGTATTTTACTAAAATACTTACCACACTTCTTAATCGTGGCAATATTATAAGTATGCACAGCGTTTGTGTGCTAACTAGGACGTGTGGGTATTTGATTCATAACCATGCATATTCTTTTATATTTTCATTAGCCCTTAAGAATTAAATATTGATATAAATAATAATTACTATAAATATTAATTGATTGCAATAAGCTATATTCTAAGTGGTTTACATTACTTTTCTATTACCATGTAACAAATCATCACAATATTAGTGACCTAAAACAACACCCCTTTGTCACTGAGTCCAGGCATTGAGTGATGGCCTCAGTATTCATCATCCACTGGTCCTGGTCAGAATCCACCGATTTTCAGGCTGAAATCAAGGTGTCAGCCAAACAGAGTTCTCATTGGATGCTCTCAGGTAGGATCCCTTTCAAGTTCATTCAGGTTATGGGAAGAATTCAACCTCTTGTGGTGTCGGTAGGAAAGAACGTGCTTCCTCGTGGACTATTTTTTGGGAGCCCACTGTGCTCATAGAGGCTGTTTGCTTTCCTTTATCTTCCTTTATCTTCACAGCCAGTACTGGAGAATCTCTGTATCTGCAGAATCTTTCCCAAGCTCTGAATTTCTGACTTCAGGAAAAGCCCAGTCCTTTATAACAACAACAACAAAAAATTTTTAATGTTTATTTTCGAGAGACAGACAGAGCATGAGCGGGGGAAGGGAAAAGGGAGAGGGAGACAGAATCCGATAGAAGCAGGCTTCAGACTCTGAGCTGTCAGCAGAGAGCTTGACTGCGGGGCTGAAACCCAGGAACCCTGAGATCATGACCTGAGCCAAAGCGGGGCGCTCCAACGACTGAGCCACCCAGGCACCCCAAGCCCAGTCCTTGTTAAAGGCTCAGCTGATTAGTTCAGGCTCACCCCAGATAATCTCCTTTTTTCAAATTCCACTGTGGCATATAATTAATCTAATTATGGGAGTAAAATCCATGATACTCACAGCCTTAGGCTCTACATACTAGAGGGTGGATGTTTGGCGGAGGGGTAGGGGGCAGGATGGATCTTAGAATTCTTCCATTATGTGATACAAATGTATTTGGTTATTCCGTGAAACTGAGGGGGTTTTGTTTGTTGTTCGTCTTAATAGACTCCAGATAGATTGCCCATAATAAAGTACTGTCTAAGAAATTAGCTTTAAAAATCATTTGTAACTTCTTTCTAAGAGAAGGTAAGTGCACTGATACTGCAAGTTGTTAGTATTCATACAGCATTATGTAAAAGGCAGGTGGTAAATAGAGCTCTCTCTTCCTTTCCAAATTGCCAACAATAAAAGATAATCGTAACGCAGAATCAAATTCGCTTAAAGACGACTCAAGTTGTTTAAAGAAGCTCAGTGGTCAAGAATTCTAACTCATGTCCATTTTCTTAGTTTTTTTTTTTTTTTCTTTACTGGTAGACACTTGATCAGAAAACTGAATATTATCTAAATAGCTGTATATATATATTTTTTTCATACATATATATGTACTTTCATATATATATATATATGTATGAAACTTCGAGTGAAGTTTCTGTTAATATCAGAGAACGCCTAAACTGAGACAATTTCATCATTTACATAAAAGTCCTATTACATTTACTGGTGGTTTTAAACCATGCAACCAACAGTCTAAGTCATCTTGGTGACAAAAAACAACTGTGTGCAAATTTCTGATGATAAAGTTAATAATTTATTTTACTTTGGGCATTTTAAAATAGAAATTGAAATTTAAAAGAGGTATTTTCCAAAGTAGTACATGTTTATAGGTCAGAGATGTGAAGCCATAACCTGACCAATGACATTCAGGTCATGAGTAAACATATGGTCTGCCACAGTGACTCAATTAACCATCCATCAATGTAATTGCATAATACATCAGAAGAGGTAGTCTCCCACCATTGATGGTCAGCATTTATATTAAATTTAACAGGAAAAAGCATCACTTTGCTATAGCTTATTGGGCTATATCATATGAAATCTTCTAAAGTAATGCATTTGACATTGTATTTATAGTTTTTGTTTTCTGGAAGAAATTTTTGACAAACTGAGCTTTGGGCTACTGTTAAGGAATGATTCTTCATATAATAAGCTGGTATAGGTGAAAAGCACACTTACAAGACAATTGTAGTACTTTAATCAATTCTAATCATGTTAATATTGAAGTAAGAAGATGTACCATTTACACATTGTATAAATTGTGTATAAATTTAACATATTAAAAACTTCTAAGAAAAGCTGTGGCTGAACTGAATAATATAACTTTTTAGACATTGAATCTTTCTTTAATACTACACATGAGAAAATAATGACAATACTTTATTAGCGATATTTAAAAAAAAATTGTGTATGGAACTTAACCCAGATTGGAAGAATGATAGTAAAGGAGCTTGAAATTATGAACAAATAAACATTGGGTTAAGTTTATATTTCATAATTAAGCTGAGTTAAGAAATGCCACGTTCCTATCTGACATCCAACTCCTTCATTTAAGGTTCACATTCTAAGGAATGGTTCCACTAACATTATGCAAATTTGCCCATAAGCCTTAGTGTAAAGCGGGGGGGGGGGGGGGGGCACGGCGGGGGGGGATGTTTTATTCAATCAGTAAGTAGATTTGCATTACCTTTGGAGAAAGGAAGTGATCATTGTCCAGAGTCTTACTCCTATAAGATTCTTGATATGGAACAAAATTCATGCTGCTAGATTATTTTTCTACTTTTCCAGGATTTGAAATTCCTCTGGTGTGACTCAATTTTTCTGACCTACAGTTGTTTGATATAAAATCTTACAAGATATCTGGTTCTCTTTATTTTTCTGGAACTGGCCCACCATTTTAGAATAAAGTATAATATCGAACACAAGAAGAATAAAATATTAGCAATGTGTACCTTCTAACAAAACAAAAGCTGTATGTGATTACTAACTGCCAGTTGTATTTGGTAACAGCCTAAAAAACACCAAAAGGACAGGTCAAGAAGACAAGGCTTCAAAAATTGTGTATACTATAGAAACTAAACTACTGGGGCTGTCAGCACTGATGAGGATGGTTAAATTGTTTGAAAAAGAAACCAGACACTGCAATGAAAGGTATTTTCCATTACTAAAATTAACTTGAAAAGCCAACATCTACACGAACACTATTTACCCAGTTGGTCTCAAATATAAACTATTCTCTGTTTGGAAATTATCAGCTCTCCTTATTATTTAGATTTGCATTACTAACAAGTCTATATAGACGACTGATAATTCTTTAGTGTCAACTGTACTCTGTTTTTCAAGATACAGAGATTTAATTAAAAATAATGTGCTTCTTGGGGAGCTTGGGTAGTTCAATCATTTAAGCATCCGACTTTGGCTCAGGTCATGATCTCACAGTTCGTGGTTCGAGCCCCACATCGGGCTCTGTGCTGACAGCTCAGAGCCTGGAACCTGCTTCAGATTCTGTGTTTCCCTCTCTCTCTGCCCCTTCCCTACTCATTCTCTTTCTCTCTCTCTCTCTCTCTTTCTCTAAATAAATAAACATTAAGAAAATAATAATGTCCTTCTAGACTTTCATGTTCCTGAGGAAACACTTTGCCACAGCTTCACTGCTTTAAAAGAAAGTCAAGAGGCTGCGGAGATTATTCTTGCCCATCAAAATCTCTGACATGTTGTATTTGTCATACTATGCGGGAGCAATACCTATGACGTTCTGCTCACACAAAAGATAGCCAGTAGGTTCAATGCCAGTGACAATGCCATTCAAAGACATTTAACTGGAAAATTTCCACTTGAAAATTGTGAACTGAAACTGGCTTGTTTTTACCATTATGGATGGGTTTGCAGGCAACCTTGGTTTATGCAATTGCACTAAAGCAATAAAATTCTTGTAAAATAACTCTGTCTGATGTTACTTCACACTTTCATCTGCTAAAGAAAGAAAGGCAAAAGATAGATAAGGATTTCCATAATAAAATAAAATCTGTCTGTTGTAATAAAATACCTTTACATTTCATTTTGAACAGATGACCTCACTTTTCACTTGAGTGAATACAAGAAGGTCACCGTAGTTTAATTTTCGCAGCCCCCTTTATTCCACCTCCAAGCAAATTTATACCTTCACCCCACTTTTAGTCCTTTTTTTCTTAGTGGAGAGGCCACTAGTTTTTAACCTGGGGATTGGGTGGATGCTGTTCTTGGGATTTGGAGGCAAGCTGGATCAGAATCACCAGGACTGTAATAGATTATAATCTGTAATATAAATATAATAATTGTGGAGAGACTGACGTTTCAGGCCCAAATCAAGTTATCAGGTGAGAATAATTACCATGGAGAGCTTCTGCTTTGCATGAAATTATGCTACTTTATCTTCAATATCAGTACTTATTAGAAAAATGCAAATTAAATAAAAACCGAGTTACTAATAGAATGGTTATAAAATAAAAATTAAAACTAGCAGCCAAGTGCTGGCAAGGATGTGGAGCAACTTGAAATCCTACATTGCTGGTGAAAATGCAAAATGATATAATCAGTTCAGAAAACAGTTTGGTGGTTTTGCATCCACACAAAAACCTACCTGGATATGTTTATAGCAGCTTTATTTGTAATAGCACAAAACTGGAAACAACCTAAATGTCTCTCAGGGGAGGAAAGGAAAAATAGAATGTGGTACATTTATATAAAGGGATGTTACTCAGCAATGAAAAAAAACTGAGTACTGAAACATGCAACAATGCAGGTGAGCAAATGCATTCGTGAAAGAAGTCAGTGGAAGGCTATAAGTTCTACTATTCCTTTTATATGAAATTCCAAAAATGGCAAAATTATAAAAATGGAAGACATAAGTTGCCAAGTGTTAAGAGTGAAAGAAGGGTTTACATACAAGGAGTAGCACAAGGGAGAGAGTGACGGAATTTTACCATAGTTTGATTATAGTGGTGTATTTATCAAACTTCATAGAATGGTTCATCCAACAGTGTGAATTTGAATGTATGTGAATCTTAAAATCTGAATAACTTATACTTTGCAAATTTTAATTTTGAACAACTAGGAAGGTTCCACAGTGTGATAATATGCCTTACTTCTCTAAAGCTGTAGAGACCTTAGGTGTAGATACCAGAACATGATGAGTGATGAAAATTCTTGGAAGTGGCAGTTCTTGGGGGACAAAGTCTTTGTCAGGGTAAGTACAACATAACCCTGGAACATATTGTTGTGACAAAAATTTTTAAATTGCTAAAACAATGATGAGACATACCAAAAAGAGGCAGAAGTAAGTTTGATGGGGTGTCCACTTACAAAATCTGGGATAATTTGAACATTGAAATACATTTGAACATTAAGATACACAACAATAAGAATGGTTTATAACCCATTGAATAAAATATGAATCCATGAGGGAGGGAGGGAGAGAGGGAGGGAGTGAGAGACAGAGAGAGAGAAAGAGAAAGAAAAAAAAAGAAGGAAGGAAAGAGAGAGGGAAGGAGGAGAAGAAAGAAAAGAAAGAGAAGAAAGAAAGAAAGAAAGAAAGAAAGAAAGAAAGAAAGAAAGAGAAAAAGAAAGGAAGGAAGGAAGGAAGGAAGAAAGAAAAAAAGAAAGAAAGGAAGAAAGGAAAAAGAAAGATTTGTCTTTACAACTGGGTGCCAACAAGTACATATAAGAGAAATTATGGAATTAAAATTAGAAAATAATTATTCAGCAACCATCATAATAAACCTCAATAGATATTAAGACTAGTGGGGTAAGCTTTTTTATAAATAAGATAATTACATAGTTTCAAAAAACTTTCCCACAAAATACTTATTAATTACAAAGAGGCAAAAACAATAACTATACAATGAAGAACCCAGGCAGACACAACTTTAATCAAATGATTAAAGTTAACATAACAATGAGACAAATCAAAATCCTGTATTACCTGATAAGAAGTAATAAAAGGAAAAGCTCTCTATGATTCTTGCCCAGTACCTAACATGAATTTAATCATGAGGAAAAATCAGGCAAACCTAAATTAAGGGACATTCTCCAAAATAACTAGTCTATAATATTTAAACATGTCAAGGTTGTAAGTCAGGGAAAGAGTGACAATTCCAGTCTAAAGAAGGTTGAAAAAACATGGCAACTAAAGGCAACACATGATCCTAGATTGGAAATTTTTTTTTTTTTGGAAATTTTGCTATGAAAAAATTATGGTGATAATTGACAAAAAAAGAATGGGTCACTATATTGATAAAGTAATGTACCCATATACTAATGTATCTATGTATCAATATTACTATTGGTATAGTAATACATCAATATTTATTTCTCAGCATTGATGATTATATTGTGGTTACGTAGGAGAATATCTTTGCTGGAATTCTCACTTAAGTATTTGTGGGTAATAGAGTGTCATGTCAGCAACTTACCTCAATTAATTAAAAAGTGTATTTTTTAAAAATAATTTTGCAAAAAAACCCCATATTTGCAAAAAAATTTTTTTTAATTTGCAAAAAAAAAAAAAAACCATCAGGATTGTCTTCTGATGAAGGGAGTGAGAAAAGTATTTTTTCTCCTAACTTACCATCTTTTATTGTTTAAAGAGTTGCACAATGAATACTAACTCTCTTATACTTCCAGCTTGTATGTCATGTGAACAGAATGGGCTCCTTCTCATTTGACACTATAGAATCAGCAGAGAGTTCTCAGGAGAAGTTAAATGAACACAACAGAGGCTTGAGGTGGTATCAACTAGGAGATTACAAAATTGTGCTGACCTAGTTTGCACAGAAGTGGCTTGGAAGAAACAGCTGAGGTCGAGTATTAGAAGTGATGTGAAAGAAGTGATCAATGCAGTATACTCCCGGCATCATTCAAATCCCTCATGCCTTCCTTATCTGGCTATCCTATTATACGGAGCCTCATTCTTTGTGAGTAAGGGGGGAGGTACAAGTTCAGTTCATCACAGTGTCAGTTCAGATGTTGGCCAAATACAATCTCTGCAAAATGGTAATGCAGAAGAGTTAGTGAAAAAGCTACAGTGGCCAAAGCTACTGGAGATATTTGGACAATATTTATTGTTTACTGCAGAAGGTTATATCCTTGCTCAGGAACCCAGTTTATACTTCTACTATCCAAGCTTGCCACATGGCATCCTTATCCAACAGAGATACTACTAACACCATTGGATTGATTTGATCATATTGCCTATGTGGTGGGGAAGGTTGTGCTTTATACGGGGCTCTATTTGAAACTTTTAGCTTTCTCAGTCACCTAACAAATGGGGTGAATCAGTCGTTGCCTTCAAAATGCTCAGAATTCCACCAAACACTGTGCCTCTTTATAGC